CCCTCCTCCTCTTTGTCCTCCTCCTCCTCCTCCCTCCTCCTCCTCCTCCTCCTCCTCCTCCTCCCTCCTCCTCCCTCCTCCTCCTCCTCCTGACAGCGGGCGCCGTGCGCCGCCGCCGTGCTCTTGGCCCAGGCCCCAGGCCACCTGGGGCACACCCTCGCCCCATCGGGAGCCTCGTGAACGTGCCGAGCGGAGAATTAGGAGGAGGAGGAGGGAGGAGGAGGAGGAGGAGGAGGAGGAGGAGGAGGAGGAGGAGGAGGAGGAGGAGGAGGAGGAGGAGGAGGAGGGGAGGGGGAGGAGGAGGAGGAGTAGGAGGAGAGGAGGAGGAGTCGGGGGGGGTGGGTGGGTGGGGCCACATGTGAACCCTACCCCTACCCCCCACGATTTCTGAGGGGGTGGGTGGGGTTCACTTCGCTCGGGAGCTCCCCCCCCCCGTCCCCCCCCTTTCCGCCAATTGTCGAAACGCCGACTAAAAAAACGCTCACATGGCAAGTACCATGATGTCGCCAGATCTTGTCGACATTGCTCTTGGTCATGGTGAACATGCCGGCCGTTGCCGACGTTCGAAGATGCGCCACGCGTCGACGCTGACAACGATGGCTGGTGAGGCGACACAGATGGACACCGCTGGTTACGAGTTCAGTCTTGGTCATGGTCCTAATTTCCTTTCCCGCCATCATGAGCTCCGGCTCTGGTGGACCCCGCCTCATCTGTACACGTATAGAATTAAGTCGGGCCTGTCCCTCTACAGGAGGAACATTCAAAAATAGGAAAAAATCAGGGGACGCTTTTGTTATTAATTAAGATTAGTTTGGAATGTGTTCTGACTAGTTTTAATTTTATCCAAAATTCGCCTCTAGGGGGACATGCCCGATCTAAACATATAATGATCTACACGTTTGGAGGCTCGCGCGGGTGTCTTGGATCCTGCGTTGGACGCTCCCTGGCTGCGCCTCTGGCGTCGACTCCGGCTGCGCGCGGACCGCCCGAAGTCTGCAGTCGCGCCGACGCGCTTGTTATTCTAAGCCGACGCCTGGGCGACATCGGGATCAGGGATCGCGCCGGGGCGTGGTGGGCCAGAACCGGCGAAGCGACACGCGATCCCAAAGTTCCCGACGGTATCCTATGGTGGTCTTCGGGCCACAACTAGGGTCTCTGGCGGCCGTTCGGGACGATCTGGGCACCCCAGAACGCTCTCGGCGAGGCGCAGCTGCTGGAACGCACCCCTGGGAGGAGGGGCGGATGGGAGACACGGGCGGAGGGAAGCTCCATGCGAGGCCCTCGTTTCTCCCAGAAGCCCAGGAGGCGGCCCAGCAGAGGTCAGGGCCCGGGTCCCTGGGCAAGGGCGAGGGGCGGTGGGAGGGGCGGGGGCAGAGACAGAAGCCGGCATGCAGACAGATTTGGAGGCGGAGAGGCAGTTTTGTGCGGGGCTGCAGGGGGTGCGGAGGAGGAGGGAGCGGGGGCGGGAGAGGGACTGAGGAGGCAGATGCCGAGGATGAGGAAGGATGCGCAATGGAGTAGGATGGAGGAGGTGCGGCTGTGAAGTGGAGGAGGACGAGGGAGGAGTTGGAGGAGAAGGGCATGGACTCGGGAAGAGGACGAGGTGGAGGCGGGGGCGGGGCAGGAGGAGCAGGAGCACGACGTGCACGACGTGCACGACGCGCACGAGGAGGAGGAGGAGGAGGAGGAGGAGGAGGAGCAGGAGCAGGAGCAGGAGGCAGAGGAGGAGGAGGAGGAGGAGGAGGAGGAGGCAGAGGAGGAGGAGGAGGAGGAGGAGGAGGAGGAGGAGTTAGCTCCCAGATCCCCGACGTGATTTTTGTCACAACGTGGACCCTCGGAGGTCTTGACCCATTCCCACGGTCTGGACCCATTCCTGGGGACGGGCTCTTCATCCTGAGTTCTTTTCCGACGCTCCCTTGGTCCAGTAAAGGACCCCCAGGGGCCGAAAATGATCAACCACCTCCCGCCGCACATGGATTGGAGTAGCAGGAGGAGCAGCAGGAGGTACGTGCAGGAGGCGCGAGGAGGAGCGAGGACAAGCAGGAGGGGGAGAAGGAGGAATGCGGAGGAGGAGGAGGAGGAGGAGGATGAGGAGGAGGAGGAATGCGGAGGAGGAGGGGGAGGAGGAGCGAGGAGGAGCGAGGAGGAGGAACGAGGAGGAGGGGAGGAGGAGGAGGAGGAGGAGGAGCGAGGAGCGAGGAGCGAGGAGCGAGGAGCGAGGAGCGAGAGCGAGGAGGAGGAGGAGGAGAGGAGGAGGAGGAGGAGCGAGGAGGAGCGTGGAGCGAGGAGCTAGGAGGAGCGAGGATGGCGAAGGCCGCTGGCGCTGCCCGCGAGGGCCCCCCCCTTGGCGGAGGGCCCGGGCCCCGGCCAGGCGCAGCCACGCCCAGGACGAGGACCTGCGGGTGCAGGAGCCCCTCCGGCTGCTTGCCGTCCTCCCGCTCGTGGAAGTTGTGAATATTGGCCTCCTCCTCCGCTCCTCCTCCTCCTCCTCCTCCTCCTCCTCCTCCTCCTCGCTCTTCGCTCCTAGCTCCTCGCTCCTCGCTCCTCGCTCTTCGCTCCTAGCTCCTAGCTCCTCGCTCCTCGCTCTTCGCTCCTAGCTCCTCGCTCCTCGCTCCTCGCTCCTCGCTCTTCGCTCCTCGCTCCTACTCCTCCTCCTCCTCCTCCTCCTCCTCCTCCTCCTCCTCTTCTCCTCCTCCTCCTCCCTCTCCTCCCCCCACTCCTCCCTTTCGGCGACTACAGAGGTCAAGCAGTGGCGAAGCGCCCTGGCTTGTCCGTAGGCCCACCAACGGTCTAGGGCTCCCAGATGGGGTCCGAGTAGATGGGGTCGGAGGATCGCGCCGCGTCGCTGATGCATCGCCGATGCGGCTCGATGCGGATCCCGATTTGCTTCACGTCGACGTCGCCGATGCTGCATAAACGATGTATCGCCGATACGGCGAGACCCTCCGATCACATCTAGGAGGCCTCTAGTGAAACCTCGCGACAAGCACATGAGCAGTGAAGCCAAGCCGGCGCGGCGCGCAAGACCTCCGCACAGCTGTCTTCCAGTTGTCTGCTGGGATGGTTGCCATATTCTCGCTGGGAAAACCGCAGGCGTCGCGGGCGGCAGCAGAGTGCCTGCCGACTTCTCCGACCCACCTTTGCCTAGTACGACCTCTGTTCCTAGCGCCGTTCTTGGAAGCCGTGTTCTTCGTTAGTGAAAGATTTAAGTGTGTCCGTCTTCCCGTTGCTGGAAGCTGCGTTCTTTGTTACAGTCAACGTGTCATCGCGCCCAACATCGCAGAGCTGATATCCTTCGGAAGACAACGGGATGGGCCCGCATTGTCCTGGAGAACTTCGTTCAGGATTTCGATGTGAATTTCGTGCGGAATTTTTGGTCCAGGAATGAAGATTACAACACATCTACGTGAAATTAATTTCGTTGTTCGCTCGCCGTTTCGGCGAACGAACATCTCACTCAGTTCAATTGCGTTGATTGAAGTCCCTACAACAAATCCGCCGCAGCACATCTGCAATGTCAGTGCAATAACATGTGGATAGTAAGGATGAGCGACTTTCCAAGGCTACCCTGGCATCCTTGCACCTTCGGCTCATCCTTGGCCACTTTCGCTGGCCGCGCCCCGCTCGAACAGTGTCGACATGGCATTCCAAGGCCCTTGCGCCCTTATCGTTCGTCCTTCTTGTACTTGTTGCCTGTAGTTCAAGAACTAACTGATGACATTAACATCACAACTCGGAGGTCCGCGCGGAATTCTTGGATCGGCGCTGGACCTCCTTGGCGGCGCCTCCGGCGCCGCCACTGGAGCGCCCCGCGCGGGTTATCAGGGGTGGGGGGATATACCCCTCGATACCCGAAGAGAACAGCCTACGTCCACACCTTGGGGAGAATCGGCCAGTGGGGCCCAGACCACGCCAGTGGGGACAGGGATAGGTTAAAACAAGCCAATCCAAGGTAATTGGTTGGGAGGTCTGGTTTCGCCACGCGCCTCGTGGGCGCCCCGCGCGCTGGCGGGGTGCGTCGGGCATTCGCCACGTGCACGCCAGTGGGCGCCTCGTGGGCTTGCACCACATCGACGGCTCTTGATTGTTCAAGCGTGTTCAAGCGCCTCGCTGATTCCGCCGGCCAGCATTGCATTATCGTAAATTTCCCGCGTCACCTCGGGAATCTGGAAGGTTTGAGTTGTTGCGATTTCCCCAAACTTGTCGTGTGAAGCTGGCGTTGGTGGATCCAATCGCTTGGTAGATGGAGGGCAACGCTTAGGCCTTCGGTCCATCCCGCCACCATGCCTGGGTTGTGGGTCAGAGGTCTCTCGGATGTATGTCGGGGTCTCTTAGGATGTTGTTCGGGGACATCTTGGAAGGATCGTCAGGGCCTGTCTTGGGGGCCTGTTTTGGGGCCTCTGGAGGAGCTTGTTGGGAGCCTCTTGGGGCCCCTTGGGGGCATCTTCTGGGCCTCCTTGGGGGACTCGTTGGGATTCTCCTGGGGGCCTCTTAGGGGGCGTTTTGGATGCCTCTTGGGAGCTTCTTGGGGACTCTTGGGATCTCGTATGGGCTTGGTGGTGGTCCTGGGGTTTTGTGTTGTCTGGGGGCCATCTTGGAGGCCTCGAAGGCTGTTTTGGGCCGATCTTGCGGGCCTCCGTCGTCTTGCGTTTTGGAGCCCTCGGAAGCCGTCAGCCGCGAGAACGCTGACAAAAGTCCTCCCCAAGCTTTTTCCTGGACAAAGCAAGATGCCTGCCTCTCGGGGCTGTCTTGGGGGTCCTCGATGGGCCCTCTCTGGGACGCGGTTTGGATGCCCCTAGGGTTGTTACAGTCAACCCGCATAGTAAGGATGGACAACCTTCTCAAGGGTACCCTTGCATTCTTGCCTCCTCGGTCCATCCTTCGCCGCTTTCGCCGGCCGCGCCCTGCTCGAAAAGCTTCGGAATGGGCGTTCAAGGCCCCTGCATCCTTATCGCGCATCCTTACTATACTGGTTGACTGTAATGGGGGCACTCCTGGGCGGCGTCATGGGGGGGGGTCTCGAGCCGCCCCCGGACCCTCGTGGGCTCTCCTGAGTACGACAGGTTCGCGCCGGGTCGACCGGCGGCGACCCCGCCGCTGGCGGCCCAGAAGGGATCGATGCGACCAGTCGTCAGGAGCGAAGGAAGGACGTACACGTACAACATGAATACACATTATTTCGAGAGTGTGCACTGCGCGAATGTTCGTCTCACGCGGGCGGTCTCGCGGATCGATGGGCCGTGTTCATGTACATGGTTGGGCGCGTGCGTCCTTTGTGGGCTCCGTGAGGCAGGCTGCCGAGGAAGGAGCCCTTCTCGTTGGGAGGGGCTCCGTGTTCTTCCAGGGTTTCGCCGCCTGCCTCGGGCTTTCCTCAGGTGTTCGATGGGGAGTCGAAGTTCAACGCATGGGAAAGAGGGGCCTCGTTCCTGATTGAGGGCTCCTTAGGTCAAGGCATCGACGGTACACATTCGGACGTTTTGGAACGATCCCCGCGGTGTCAGCAACGAACGCCGCAGTCGGCCCGACACGAACCGGCCGTCGCTCCCTCAAGGCGCCCTTGGGGTGCTCCAGTGGAGCCCTGGCGCGCGCGCCCAGTAGTTAACGTAATTACCAGACATGGTGCCTTGGAACGGCTCAGGGCTTGTCAGGGCGCCACACTTACGTGGATTCGCATGCTGAAGCCCCAGGACAGGAATGATGCTCTGGCGCGATGCGGGACCGTCAAAACGCAACAGTCAAGTTGATTTAGTGGCGGTGAAGTTCCGAGGATAGTGTTTCGGCATGCTTCAGGATCTTCCAACGGTTGTCTCCCAACGGTGCCTTTCCCTGAGTGGAACTGAATAGTTGCAGGGGCCTGTGAAGAGCGCGCTTGGAGGGAGTGTTTATTACAATATCGTTGGTGAGCCTTGGCTTTGCACTGAGCCTTATCCTCCCCCTCCTCTTCTCCCTCCTCCTCCTCCTCCTCCTCCTCCTCCTCCTCGGTCCTCCTCGGTCCTCCTCGCTCCTCATCCTCGCTCCTCGCTCCTCCTCCTCCTCGCTCCTCGCTCCTCATCTTCCTCCTCCTCCTATGCCTCCTCCTTCTCCTCTTCCTTCTCCTCCGCCTCCTTCTCTTCTGAGGCCAGGCCCGGAACCGTGCCCACGCCCCTCCGCTTAACAAATCGGATGTTTCAGAGCGTGCAGTTGCCAGATTCTTCGGTGTCGGAATACGTTTTTTTTCCGTCAGGCAGAAGACTGAAGGCGTGAGCACCATTCCTGCAATTCGGCGTCGCGTTTTACCGTACTCATTTGTTGAGTTCCCAGCATAGTGATCATCACGTGAGCAACGCATACGGGCGTTGTTCATAAGAGAAATACGTCTGAGATCGATATCAGACCTACCCAGCAAAATTGTTGTTTGTTTCTCGTCGGAGAGGGACGGGAACTCCGCATTTACATGTTCTCACAAGGCCTCTCCGCAGGTGCAGCTTGGCGATCCTGCCAGCCAGGAGTCTCCAACCACAGCATTTAATCGCATACACTTGTCAGACGTAGAATTAGAAACGATCCTCAGCACAACCGCGAAACGTACCCACCAATATATTCCTGCTGATCGGTTTCAGATGTTCATGCGAGATGTAAGTCCTCCCGCCGAATAAGGGGCCGTGCTGAAGTCAAGATAATTCTGCGAAATGCACGGGGGTCTGGTAGGTTTGGGGTGACCCGAATCAACCACGGGTATCGTCCGAAGGATTGCCTCAAGTATGAAGTGCCTTGAATGTGGAGGGGGGCGGAGGTGGTGGGTATGGGGGGGAGTGAGAGGAAGTCTAAGTCAGCAGCAGAAGTTAGATGGGTCAACTAACTTGCAAGTGTTTAACAACACACGCCGTTTTTCCCGAGGCAGGGAGTGATGAGTCGTAGTGCCATAAGTTCCTTCCGCTACATCTTCTTTGTGTTTCCAAGGGCTCGGCATCGACCGAAGAGCGCCCGTAGGGCTAAACAGCCAGGGGTCCCGCAGGCTGTCGCCTGCGCTGTCGCCTGCACTGCCCACAATGCCGCCAGCAGCTACCCAGCTCTTAAACATACGCGACGAGCCTCGTTCTTGATAAGAGCAGAGGGCTCACCAGTTGCCAAGGCTCCAGGCTCCGACTCCGACTCCTGTTGGCCTTTCTGCTCATCATCTTCGTTTGTTGCTGATGCTGCTCACCCCACCTCCTCTCGGTTGCACCCGCTGCAAGTTTCTCCCGCTGCAAGGATCTCACCCACCGGCTGGACCAAGTCGCCAAAACTTTGTCGGCCTCACCGAGGCCACGGGGGGGGGGGAGGGGCGGCTAGGGAGAAGGACGGGAGGGCGGGCGGGAGGGAGTAACGTGGATGGGGAGCGAGGGAAGGAGGATGTTGAGGAGGGAGAGGGTTGGAGGAGGAGCGAAGGATGGATGGATGGAGGGAGGGAGGAGGATGGGGATGGAGAGGGAGAGAGGAGGCGGGAGGGAGGACGAATTGGAAGGGGTGTGGAGGGAGAAGGGCGGCCAGGGAGGGAGGACGAGGTCGAGAAGAACGGCCGAAAGAACGAGGAGAGAGGGAGGAGGAGGAGGAGGAGGAGGAGGAGGAGGAGGAGGAGGAGGAGGAGCGGAAGAGGAGGAGGAGGCGGAGGAGGAGCAGGAGGAGGAGGGGGAGGAGAAGGAGGAGAAGGAGGGGGAGGAGGAGGAGAAGGAGGAGGAGGAGGAGGAGGAGGCGGCGCAGGAGCAGGAGCAGGAGCGCGTCCGAGAGCGGGGCGCGCGCCACAGGGGCGCGAGCTGGGAGATTCCCGGGACCGCCGCGGCGCCCCCGCCCCTGATGCGTCGAGTCTCGCAGCGGGCGGCCAGCCCCCACTGCCCATCCCTCCCTCCATCCATACATGTTCCCCTTCTTTTTTTTGTTCTCTCTCTCTCTCTCTCTCCCTCTCCTCTCTCTCTCTCTCCATCTCTGTCTCTCTCTCTCTCTCTCTGTCTCTCTCTCTCTCTCTGTCTCTCTCTCTCTCTCTCTGTCTCTCTCTCGCTCACTCTCTCTCCCCCTCCGAGGAGGAACCAAGGAGCCCGTACCGCTACCCTTCCATCGGTTTCGCCATGTTTGGAGGCCTCTTGGGAGGCCCTCGCCGCCACCGCTGGATTCGCCTCGAGTATCTGATCAGAACGCACCCCGTGAGAGATCTGAGGAGTAGTGGTATCGGTACCTTTTGGTTTCCCCAGCCTCCCTCCATCCATTCATCCATCTCTTTTTTCTGCCTCTCGTTTCTTTTGTTCTCTCTCTCTCTCTCTGTCTCTCTCTGTCACTCTCTCACTGGTTCCCTGTCTCCCTGTCCTCCCCCGTGCATTCCTTACTGTCTGATCTTCATCGCTCCTCCCGTCCTTCGCTTATTGTTCTTGCTCTTCCTCTCTCTCCTCCTCGCTCCTCCTCTCCTGCGTGCTCGCCCTTCGTCGTACTCCCTGCATCCGTCCCCACCTGCGTCCTCGTCCTTCGTCGTATTCCCTCTTGTCCGTCCTCCATCCTTCCCCCCGCCCCTCTCTTCTCGCTCGCTTCCCTCCGCCCTCCCCGCTCCTCCCGCCTGCATGCTCCCTCCTCTCCCGTTCCTCACTCTTCGCTCCCTCTCTGCATCCCACTGTCCCTCCGCCCTTCCTTCTATCTTTCCTCGTCGGGCTCGTGAACCTCACCTCGGGCGCCGCTTGAAGGCCTACGTGGTCTGAGAGCCCGCTGGCCGTTCCGCGGCCGCTTCCTCCTCCCGCCTTGCCCCTCCCCTGCTTCTGCCCCTCATTTTGCTACGACCCCGTCCCGCCGCTAACCGACCGATTGTTGCGTCCACCCCGCCGCTGACCAACCAGTTTTGCCTCGCCGGCCTGTCCCAGCCAGGGAGGCCTTGGGGACCCTGGGGACCCAGAGGCATTCTGAGGTGGCCACGCAGGGGACCAGGTGTGTACAACTCTTGGCCACGGCATCCTCCCCACTCCACCCACCCTTCAGATCTGCCCCTCCCCCCCTTGCGAGTACGGCTAGCCGAAAAGGTGGAGAAGTGATGTAGTGGAATGAAGGACGGGGAGGGTGGAAGAAGAGGAGGAGGAGGAGGAGGAGGAGGAGGAGGAGGAGGGGGGGCAGGAGGAGGAGGAGGAGGAGGAGGAGGGACAAGGGAGGTAAGGTGGAGGAGGTGGAGGTGGAGGAGGAAGAGGAGGGAGGAGGGAGGAGGAGGAGGGGGGCAGGAGCAGGAGGAGGAGGAGGGAGGAGCAGGACAAGGAGAGGAGGAGGAGGAGGAGGAGGAGGAGGAGGAAGGAGGGGAGGTGGAGGAGAAGGAGGAGGAGGAGGAGGAGGAGGAGGGAGGCGGCAGGAGGCAGGAGGCAGGAGGCAGGAAGGGAGGAGGACCCGGAGGGAGGAGCAAGGGAGGAGGAGGAGGAGGCCGAGGAGGAGGAGAAGGAGCAACGGGCGAGCGAGCGCGGGAGGGAGGGAGCGAGCGCGCAGAGGGAGGGAGGGAGCGAGCGCGCAGAGGGTTGAGTGAGCAAGGGAGCGATCGAGGGAGGGGAGGGGGGAATACATCGTGGGCTGGCAGGGGGAAGGGCGAGAGGGCCGAGGGAGGAGATCGGGGGCAGTTGGAGGGCGGGGGGGGGATGGACGAGGGAGGGAGAGGAGGAGTGAGGCGGCCGGCGGTTCTGAGAGAGGATGGGGAGGCGGAGGAGGAGGACACACGAGAGGGAGGAGGAGGGAGAGCTTGTTCAGAGTGCGGAGCGCCCAGTGAGGTGGGAGGAGGGTGGAGGGGACGGAGGGAGATGGGGGGGACGGACCAGGGTGGAGGAGGAGGGGTGCCGCACCCAAGGTGAGACCGCCGCCAAGATTCTCCTCTTCCGGGGCACTCGTCCTTTCTCTGATCGCCACCTACTATTCTGATGTGGCGGCCTGGTCTGCACTGCGGTTTCGCGCGAGTTTAGCATCGTGACCAAATTCGCGCGAACGGGATTCCTTCCACGAGTTGCATGCTCCCAATCGAGCTGCGTAGGCGATCCGGCGATCTGCCATCTTCGCTAAGCGATTGGGTGATCCGTCCCCACGTCAGCAGCGCCAAGCACTCTATTGCAACGGCGTCCTGCGATTCAGTCTTGCGTTTGTTTCATACAATGTTGGCAGTGGTTCCACTCCGATATGACGTAAGTCCTACCCTTCCAGGTCATTTGAAATTGCCTCGATCTGTCCGTCCCCCCTTCATCCTTCCTATCTACTTTCTCTGATCGTTTTTCTGTTGGAGATGTGGGACGTGGCTGACAAGCAGCTTCGGTCGTTGGGCAAGCCGTGCAGCCACATCCCCACCCCCACAGTCACAGCATCCTTGGTGATAATTCGGCTCGGTCTTGTCCCGTACGTCCTCAGCAAGGTCGAAGAGGTCCTGCGATGCCGAGATTGGCTCGCATCGATATTGACATCGCCACTGGTTCCACTCAACTCGACTCCACCCCCCCTTCCCTCCGCGCTGAAGGGCTTCGGTAGACCAGCACGCGATGGCGCAGACGCACGTTCTGAGGATAATCGATGCGTTGTTTTTGTTTGTTATCTCTCTCTGACTCTCCCTTGTTCTTTCTTGTATATACACATATGTTCGGATGCTGCTCCTGGGAGTGCATCGGCGCCGTCGTGGGTAACCAGCCTAATCCAGCACAGACCCAGACAATTCCATTTGATCCAGTTTAAGCGGGCTTAATCCTGGTCTTCATCCGTGCTAGTCCGGTTCAAAAGTTGTTCAATATGGCTTGAAAGCCCTTATTCGTTATTACGAAGGCTTCCCAGGAGTTGTTTCCAAACCTCCCTCTCTCCGCGCCCTCCTCCAGCTCGGGCACGTCCCCGTCCCGAGGAAGCGCAGCGGCTGGCGCTTCCAGTATTGGAAGTCGTTCGACCGCACCAGCTACAGCAGCTTCGGGCCACGCTCCCAGCACCCTGCACCCTTCGCTGAGACCAGAGGGCAGCAGAGCGAGGAGGAGTGGTCGCCAGGTGTGTTACGCGTGAAAGTTCTGTTGAGCGTGAATTTCTGAGGAGGAGTGGGTACCCATACCGCTATCCTTCCCGCGTTTTGCCTCGAAACTGTGGTCGGGACGCTTTCCCGGGATTGGCGCCCCAGGCTACGAACGCTTATTCAAGAGCGCCCTCGAGGGCGCGAAGTTATTCGCGCTTCGCTGCTCTACTCCGATCCTCCTCATCCTCCTCTTCTCCCGTGGGGAGCGGGGCGAGAGCGCGAAGTTATTCGCCGAGAAGTTCGGAGACCTTACTGACTTCTGTTTATGAGTGGTCGGAGCCTGTCTCAAAATCGTTCTCACACATCATACACAAGGGTCGGGTGTCTGTGGATGGGGTCTGGTTGACCCAAAAGGGGGTCCAGCGAAAAGAGGGTGGTGCAATATGTTTGTGGGTTGCAATAGATTTGGGGCCTGCAGCACATTCCAACGGATTTTCGCGTGCACTACATTAGTTGCAGTACAATTCAATCTGACCCTCCGGCGCAATACAATTGCCCCAAATCTATTGCACCACCCCTTTTCAGCTGGACCCCCTTTTCCCTTTTGGGTCAACCGAATGGGGAGGCGGGATCGGGGGGGTGTTCTGGGGAGGCTCGGGGGCGCTTTCTTGTCGCGGCGTCAGCGATCGCACTGCGCTGGGATGCCTATCGGCACGATCGAAATGGATTCGGAAAGAACGGGCACGAACACCGACAGCAGTTCCTGTCCAGTTTGAACAGGATTCGCTATCGGAGTCGCCGCGGACGTGGTCAACTTGAGACAGAAGTTCTCCTGGCAACAGCGTCCGCTGTCGGCTTTCGGACAACATTTCTAGCTGGGCATCGTGCCCATTTCTTTTCGTACCCATTTCGGACGTCCAACGCCTAGGCCAGGATGCGAAACGGCAAGCTAACACGACACACACACACACACGCGCAGAGAAGGTCCTGCGCGTCTCCATGTGATGCTCGATGGTGACGGTATCCACAGGGAGGGGCAGCTAGTCCACGAACTGTACGAAGTAGAGTAGAGAAGAGTATTGCAACCGCATGTGTTTGCAAGCCGCGTCGTGCGTTCCCGAGTGTTGGTTGCGGGCCCCAGGATCTACACCACCGCCTCCAATCCTCCTCCCTCCTCTGCCCCCTCATCCTCCTCTCCTCTTCCCCGGGAGAGGCAGGGATTCAGGGAGGTGGTGGTGGTGGTGTACAGACGGGTCGCTGCAGAAGGAACCCTTTTTCATTGGGGAGGGTCTCCGGGGTCCTTACTTGTTTCACAGCTTGCCTGAATTTGTCTCTAGGTTTCGATCGGAAATCGAAGTTGAATTTGTGGAAGAGAGGGGCATCGTTCCTTATTTTGGTTTCCCGTGGTCAACGCCCCGACTGTATGCGTTTGGGCCCCGTATTGTTGGTCGCGAACATGCGAGCTGGTGCCTGCACTGAGACTGGACGAGGAGCCACGGTCGGGGACAGGACCAGGAGGGACAATGGATGATGGAAGGGGAAGGAGCAGAGAGGAGTCATGCGCAGGGACGAGGATTCAGGGAGGGGTAGGAGGAGGAACAGGAGTGGGACGATGACCTGAGGAGGAGGAGGAGGAGGAGGTGGAGGAGGAGGCGGAGGAGGAGGAGGAGGCGGAGGTGGAGGAGGAGGAGGAGGAGGAGGAGGTGGAGGTGGAGGGAGGTTGAGGAGGAGCAGGAGGAGGAGGAGGAGGAGGAGGAGGAGGAGGAGGAGGAGGAGGAGGAGGGGAAGGTGGAGAAGAACCATGACAAGCACGCGCAACGAGCGGGAGGACTAGGATGAGCAGGCCGAGCAGGAGGGGCTGGCGGCGCTGGTATGTTTATCCTGTTGCCTTCCCCCCTCCCCTCTCCCTCTGTCCTGCCCCGTCATGCAGTGTCCTGTTTTCCGTGCTTCCTCTCCGCCTTCTCATCCTGCCTTGCAATTGGTTCCTCCGATCCTCCATTTTTTTCCGCCCCTCCTCCCTTTCCTCAAAGGCGAGGCAGGCCGCGACGGACGTGGGGAAACTCAGTTCGAAACACCTGTCTGAAAGTCGCTGGCTCGCACGAGCGACTTGCTGCCTACTTTTAAGTCGGGCCTGTCCCTCTACAGGAGGAATATCCAAAAATAGTCCAACAAAAATCGGGAGACGATTTTTGGAATATTTTGAAACATGTTTGAGATATGTTTTGGGTATCTTTATTTTTCGTTCAAAATCCGCCTGTAGGGGGACACGCTCGACCTAAGCCTACTTCCTCCCACATGGCGGTGCAGCTCGCGCGCGGGAGCAGGCCGTCAAAGGCTGGCCCAGATGCTGCAGGCATCCAGCCGCCCAGGCCGCATTTTGAGTCTCATCTTGCTCACGCATCGTCCGGTGCACGGCTTACCTGACCTGACGATCTTACCCTACCTGACCGTAATGTCTTGATGTTCGCGCTTCCTCTCCCCCTTCTTATCCTGCCCTACTATCTGTTCCTCCGATCTTCCATTCGTCCGTCCCTCCTCCTCCATCTCCTCCTCCTCCTCCTCCTCCTCCTCCTCCTCCTCCTCCATCTCCTCCTCCATCTCCTCCATCTCCTCCTACATCTCCTCCTCCATCTCCTCCTCCATCTCCTCCTCCTCCTCCCCCTCCTCCTCCTCCTCCTCCTCCTCCCTCCCTCCCTCCCCTGCTTCCCTCCCCGATGCGTGCACGTGGCGGGCCCTCCTCCTTCGCTCCCCCCCTCCTCCTTCGCAAATCCCTCCCCTGCTGTGCCACAGATCCACGGGCCCGCAGATCCGTGCCAACGTGCGCTCGGCACGGGCAATAAGCAGCGCAAGGAGGGAGGGAGGAGGAGAGGAGGCGGAGGAGGAGGAGGAGGAGGAGGAGGAGGAGGAGCAGGAGCAGGAGCAGGAGCAGGAACAGGAGCAGAAGCAGGAGCAGGAGGAGCAGGAGGAGCAGGAGGAGCAGGAAGGAGCAGGAAGGAGGAGGAGGGGGAAGGAGGAAAGAGGATGGTGAGTAGGAGGAGGAGGAGGAAGGAGGAGGAGGAGGAAAGAGGGAAGAGGGGGAGCGGCGTGGTGGACGCAGGACAAGCATCAAAGCAGAATGCAGAAGAGGAGGGGCGAGCCCCGAGATCCGACGACGCGAAGCCTCGGAGCATTGTGGAGTAGCACGACCAGAGCCCTGGACCCCAGCTTTCTGCGCCCGCGTTCGAGACTCCCTGTTCCCGAAGCCAGGCGAACACCCTGGGCCCGAAATCCGGGGCGGCAAAGAGGGGGGTGATGACTAGGGGAGGTGGATATCTTGGGGGGGGGGCATGATATCTCCCCAGATTTCATGGAGCCTCTTCTTATTTCAATGCGTTCCCTGACCCACCGCTGGGCCGCGCACATGCCGCTGGCCATCATTTGCGCCCCCCCCCCCCCATCTTGGACGCTCCCCTCTTCGCCGACCCCGACGAAACAAATCGAGGCGCCAGGTTCTCGGGGGCGGCAGAGCGGGGGGTGATAACTCGGGTTAAGTCTGGCCTGTCCCACTACAGGGGAAATATTCAAAAATAGTAAAAAGATAGTCTGGGGACTATTTTTTTGGTATTGTGTGACATCTTTGGGATATTGTTTGAGTCCTATATACAAGTGGCACGTGTGTGCCCAGGCTCATACAAACATCACGTGCCTCAGCTCATGCGCAAGTGGGGTTGCCACACCTTGCGATGTGTGTACCAGGGCCCCCCAGGAAGCCTCAGGATGCCCGACTTGGATACCAGAAGAGGCTTCAGGAGGCCCCAGGATGGTGAGTGTTGTGCGTGTGTGTGTGTGTGTGTGTGTGTGTGTGTGTGTGTGTGTGTGATGTATGCTTTGTGTGATGCGTGCTTTTTGTGTGTTGTAGGTGTTGTGTGTGTGTGTGTTATGTTTGTCTAGCGTGTGATGTGTTGGGCGTGATTTGTGTCTCTGTGTGCATGTAGTTCTGAAGCCCCAGGAGGCCCCAGGAGGCCCCAGGCGGCCTCAGGAGGCCCCAGGAGACCCCAGGAGGCTTCAGGAGGCCCCAAGAGGCTCCAGGAGGCCGCAGGAGGCCCCAGGAGGCCCCAGGAGGTTTCAGGAGACCCCCAGGAGGCTCCGAGGCGGGGTCTGGGGTGCCAGAAGGTTCAGAAAGCCCCAGGAGGCCCCAGGAGGTTCCAGGAGGCCCCCAGGAGGCTCCGAGGCGGGGTCTGGGGCTCGATTTTGGAAGGATGTTTCAAGCGAAACCGCCATTCCCTGAGAATCGGTGTCACAATTATTGAAATTACCATGTGTCTTTGAAGGTTTTATGTTAAAATGTTGAAATTCCCATGTGTTTTTGGACCTCTCCTTCACGATCTGCGTGAGGGGTGCCACCGATTTTCGGATTTTTGAGGATGTCCCTAGCGAAACGGCCAGGAAAATCGAAGACGGACGGACGCATTAATCCCCTCTGAGCTCTACTCCCTCGGAGGGGTGCGTATGATAATATATATATATATATATATATATATGTATTATCGTCCAAAATCCCCTTGTAGGGGGACTGGCCCGACCTAAGACTAGGGAGGGGGAGATCGTGGCGGGGGCCACGATATCTCACCAGATTTCATGGCGTCTCGTCTTATTTCGGTACGTCGCCGGCCATCCCTGGGGCCGCGCACGTGCCGCCAGCCAGGACTTGCGCCCCCCCTCTCGGACGCCCCCCTCTTGACCGCCCCCATGTTCAATGAGGATGAGAGGAGGACGAGAGAAGGAGGAGGAGGAGGAGAAGGAGGAGGAGGAGGAGGAGGAGTAGGAGGAGGAGGAGGAGGAGGAGGAGGATGCGGTCGGGGGCCCTCCTCGCTCGCGGCGCCCGCCCCCCCCGAGAGAGGCAGCTCGTCGAGGTGGAGGAGCGCGAGAGCTCCGGGCTCCCCGGCTGCAGGCCAGGCGGCTGGTGTTTCCCGTGACGTGGCGGGTGGTCGCGCCCAAAGGCGGGAGCGCGTTCCACTACTCGCAAAGTGCCTACTCTCGGGGGCGGCAAAGAGGGGGGGGATGACTAGGGGGGGGTGGATATCATGGCGGGGGCCATGACATTTCCCCAGATCTCATGGCGCCTCTTCTTATTTCATTGCGTCCCTGGCCCCCCCCGCTGGGCCGTGCACGTGCCGCCGGCCATGATTTGCACCCCCCCTCTTGGACACCCCCCTCTTGGCCGCCTCCGGGCCGGGAGGCGCCGGGAGGCCTCGATACATGGCCGCCTCCGGCGCCGGGAGGCGCCGGGAAAATCAGCTACGTGAGCTGATTCTCAAAACCCCCCTTAGCTATCCCCCCCATTCGCCCGACCCGAATGTGTGCGTGCGTCTGCCAAATATATCGTGAATCCCCCGCGGCGGATCCAGGCCACTTGCGAGCAGTTGCGTTGCGAGCAGTGGAAACGCGCGTGTCCACACGAGCGGGAGCGCGCACACGTCGCCTCCCCCAGTGGCCCCGCGGCCTCGTTCCGTCGGCTCGCGTGCTGGGCGACTGTCTCGCTCGCTGTCCCTCCCCTGGCATGTCCCCTCCCCTGGCCTCCCCTGGTCTCCCCTCTCTTCCCTTCCCCTCCCCCTGTCTTCCCTCCCCCTTCTCTCCCCTCCCCCTCTCCCTCCCTTCCTTCCTTCCTCTCTCTCTCTCATCTCCCCCCTCCCCTCCCCTCCCCTCCCCTTCCGTTTCCCTCCCCCTCTCCTTTTTCCCTCCCCTGGTGTCCCCATCTCTTCCCTCCCTTCCCCTCCCCCTGGTTACTCAAGGAGCGGTCGAAGGACGCATACGTGCATGAATCCACGTTGGTTTTCGAAGCTACACATGGCGCAAACGTTCATGTCACGAGCCCGGTCTCGCAGACTGGGGGTCCGCAACTATTCATGTTCGTGGTTGGGCACGTACGTCCCATGTGGGCTCCCTCGGCTTCCCCTTCCTTCGATGTCCGCTCAGAGCTCCGCGCGGATCTCGTGGCCCCTTGGCGGCGCCTCTGGCGCCGACCCTGGCGCGCTCCGCGCGCCAGGTCGGGGGAGGCCCAGCGCGTATCCAACGAAGTCCGCGCGGACCTCCGACAGATGTTGTGCGTTCCTCTGATGCTGGGCGATTGTCTAGCTTCCTCCCGGCCCCTGGTTTCCCCCCTCCCCCTTCGCGTCGTGCAACAGAAAACACCAAAGCTGGCATTTTTGTGCTGTCTTCGGCCTCTGGGGGCCCCCAGCGAGCCCCAGGGCTGTCAAGAAACAACGCGGGGAGAAAAACCTGGTCCGAGGGAAGGGGTCGAGACCTCTGCGGGTCGACGTTGCGACAAAAATCGTGACGCCGAGGATCTGGGCTTCTCCCCTGTGCCTGAGCCTACTTCCCCCGCGCAGTCAACCATAAACAATAAGCTGGATGGTGTAATGCCTAAAAGGGTGTTGTTTCATGCTTATTGACTTGGCGTAGCCTAAAAGGGTACTGTGTCATGCGTAGCCTTAGGCGGTATTGGACCTCCATGAGTCTTTCGTGGACGTCCAAGGGTGCGGCATCGGTACACTGCATCGATAAGTTGCGCTTGGGGACGCTTGCGACGAATCACCGTCTTGGGGCGTGGGATTTTACGTGTCCTTCTTCCGTGCTGGCGGGCCGAAGGCCCATTGGGAACCTTGAAGGAGGACCAACACCTACCTAAAGTTGGCACGCAGTGCACTCCTGTTGCAAGCCAACAGGAGGCGGCGGATCTAGCGGCCTTCGGCCCATCCTGCCACCGTGCCTGGGCTGGAGCTCAGAGGCATCTAGGATGCAAATGAGAATCTCCTTGGCCCTCGGGATGTCTCTCGGGAAGACTCCTCGAGGGCTCTCGGAGGCCTCTGCGGGGCCTCTTGGGGGCCTCCGGAGGCTTCTGCGGGGCCTCTTGGGAAGCCTCGTTTTTTTTTCCTGAAGGGGCCTCGGGAGCCCCTCTCGGGAGCTCTTTCTTCGGCTTTTGGGCTGTCTTGGGGGGCTCCTTGGGGCCCGTCTTTGGGCCCTCCTGGCGCGTGCCTCGGGGCACTCCCGGGGGCCTCCCGGGCAGTCCGTGGACTTCGGTCGGGCGTGTCCCCCTACAGGGGGAGCTTCGACGACAAAGAAGGAATACCCAAAAAATGCGCCAAAAAGGTTAAAACATATTCAAAAAATAGTCCCCAGACGATGTTTGGATTATTTTTGACTGTATGGGGGACACGCCCGACTTAACCGTGGGCCCGATTGCGCGCGTGTGGGGCCGCCTGGGAGCGTCGGAAGCTGGGCGAAGGCGTGAATGGTTAAAGCTGTCAAAATTCGGGGTCACACGTTTTGGCTTGTCAGGGCCCTCTTTGGGATGCTCTCTGGGCTCCCTCGGAACGTCTTGGGGCTGTCCCGGGTGTCTGGGAGCGCTCTCGGGCGATTCAGGGCCACCTTGGACCGTTCTGGGGGCCTCACGGGGACACATGGGCCCGCTTTGTGGTCATCCTGGGCAGGGGTGGCCGTCCCAGAGGCCCACGCAAAACAACCAGGTTTCCGGGCATTCAAGGATCTTACAAATCCTCTACCGCTCAGGACTTCGTGAGTCTCGGGGCACGGTACTATGCGCCTCGAGGCACGGTAGCGGGTTTCTGACTTCCAGATTCCAGTATAGTTGATTTCCTTCATGCTGCGAGGATCGAGGGGGTTTCTCTCTTCCTTCCTCTTCAGCGGGCGGGCAGCAACCGGACACATGTCCAACGCCTTCCTACGTCATGCGTCTACTCGCTTCTTCCGACCAGTGGGTAGGTGCACCCGCACCCGATCGGTGGACCCTGACGCTACGCAGCCGGTGTTAGGGCCACAGGGCAGCAGTGGGAGGGGAGCGGGCGGAGGTTCATTGCAGGCGGTCCTTCGCCCCGATCGGTGGACCTGGAAGCTACGTAGCCGTTATTCGGGCCAGAGGGCTGCGGGGGGTGGGAGAGGGCGGAGGTTCGTTGCAGACGGTTCTTCGGCCCGCTAGTGGCGGTTACAGCCGTTCGGGCGTCAGGGAGAAGGTCGGCTCGATTCCTTAGATGATCCCTGTTCGTGGCCGCACTTGTTTCCAAACATCTGTCTTCCTTGGGTCTCCCTTTGTAAGTAGGTTGGAAATTCTCCGCCGGGGACACTCTTTTCTCAGGCAATGCTGTTTCCTGAGTTTGCCATGCGCTGACTGACCCCCTAGAAGTCTGACCCCCCAGTAGCAGGCGAATGATGTATTTCAGACGGGGGGAGGAGCCACGTATGTGAAGTGCATGCGACCAGCGGCGGGCCTGTGTCATATACTCGTCCTTTTCAGGAAGCAGGAGGCGAGACTGTGCGAACTTGCGTTGGTAATTAGGTCAGTCGGGCGCTGCCTCCAAAGAGAAGTAGAGACTGCGATGCTCGGGCTCCTCTCAACAAGTAGAGGCTGTGATGCTGGAGCCTGCGCACCCACCAGTCGGTCGCGCCTCTCGTTACCAAACAGTTGCGGGCATCCGACAGACGGGCGCGCTTCTGCATCAAAACAGCGCGTGGCGTTCAAGGACGGTTGTGGGCACAGGGGTTGGCGGATTTTTTTGTTCGCACACCCTCCCTCGCCATCCTCCGAAGTCTCCTGCTTACTGCTTGTACTTTGCCGCCTCGTTCTTCCGCCCCCTCACTCTCCCAGCTACCCTCCAGGGAGGAAAAACCAACCAGACCGGGCAATTGGCTCTTCCTGAACGGCCCCGGGCGTTTACTAAGAGCCCTGCCCTGTTGGATTCCTTTTTTGGGTGCGTTTACTGAACGGTTTCGCGTGTCGGGGTGATTCTTATGGGGGTGGATTTTCCGCCTTCTGTGTGCTTCTTTCCCACCCCTCATCCCCCAGATGCGCCCGCCAGCGGCGAGACGAGATCCCCTTCGTTCTGGCCGCGGGGAGAGGGAAGGGCGCACACTTTTTGCTTGGGGGTGGGGACGGGGGTGGGGGCCCCTGCGCCCCTCTTGCCACGTCTCCTCATGTTCCTCCTCCTCCTCCTCCGCCTCCTCCCCTCTCCTCCTCCTCCGCTGGCGCACTCGCGCGCCCGTGGGCGGCTTCTCCGCTGGCGCCGAAGCGCCCCGAGCCACCACCACCAGCAAGGCGGGCTGACCGCTGCCCCCCCCCCCCCCCCCTCGAGCTGGTGGCACCCCGTCCTGGGCGCGCCACCCGAGGGTGCCCAGAAGGAACTGCCACCAGCTCGGGAGGGGGGCCTCTGGGAAGGGAGCTCCAGAAGGGGGGGGGAGTCCGGACCCCCCCCCCCTTCCACCCCTTGGCGCTGGAAAGGGGGGGGGATCGGACCCCCTTCCCCCTCGTGTAGGGAGTACGGAGTTGGGAGTAGGGAGTGGTGAGTAGTGAGTAGTGAGTTAGTGCGTAGTGAGTAGTGAGTATTGGGTAGTGAGTAGTAGTGAGTAGTGAATATGAGTAGCGGGTAGTGAGTGGCGAGTAGGGAGTAGGGAGTAGGGAGCGAGGAGTAGTGAGTAGTGATTAGTGAGTAATTAGTGTGTACTGATAAGTGAGTAGTGAGCGGCGAGTAGTGAGTTGTGAGTAGTGAGTAACGAGTAGCGAGTACTGAGTAGGGAGTAGGGAGTAATGAGTACTGGGTAGTGAGTAGTGGTTGGTGAGTAATGTTGGCGAGTAGTGATGAGTGAGTAGTGAGTTGTGGGTGGTGCGTAGTGCGCAGTGCGTAGTGAGTAGTGAATAGTGAGTAGTGAGTAGTGAGTAGTGAGTAGCGAGTAGTGAGTAGTGAGTAGTGAATAGTGCGTAGTGAGTAGTGGGTACTGAGTAGTACGTAGTGCGTAGTGAGTAGTGAGTAGTGATGAATAGTGAATAGAAAGTAGTGGGTGGTGGCAGTGGGCAGTGAGTAGTGAGTAGCGAGTAGTGAGTAGTGAGTAGTAAGTAGAGTGTAGTCAGTAGTGAGTAGTGGGTAGTGGTTAGTGAGTAAC